CCCCCAACCGCCTTGCTGGGGTGTGTAACGATGCTGAAAGTGCAAACTACCAGAGTGGTTTGGAGCGGGAAAACAACCGAAGCGTCAGATCTATTAATTGAAAAATACATGTAAATCTGTAGAAGGAAAACGAGACGAAGTGGCAGTTTTAGCAGTGACGTCTTCTGTATCTGAGAGGGCATATCAATCAATAGAATAATAATAACGATAATAATAGAATTTATTTATACAGCGTCTAACCCTCTCGGCTCAGCGAGCTTTACAGTTTATTTCACAATATAAATTAGTTATATGAAAGGGAGTGGGTGGAATGTAAACGAATAACACTAAAAATACTTTTCATAAACTAATTGTAAAAGGTCTTTTTGCGCAGGAATAATATACATCTGCTTATATTATGAGAAAAAATACGTGTTGAATCATTTCAAAAGCCTACTACAGCACGTGGACATACCATCAACAAAAAAGAAATGTAGACTCATCGCCGTTGGTATTGCATGTATCTGTGTACACTGATTTTAAAAAGTTGCGCATGCAAAACTTATACCCTGTGCACAGAGCCAATCGAATTCATCGGATTGAGTTGGAACTAACCGAAAAATGTTCCTTCAAGGATGGGTCAAAAGTTAGTTTTGCCACGATACGATGGGTTCGACTAGTGACCCTGAAAACCAAACGGTTAGATTTTGAAGGTCGCCTTTAGATTCAGTTGGATTCGATCCGATGAGTCTTATTGTCATACTGTGTGCACTGTGTGCAAGTTCAGTCGGGGAAAAACCCCACGTGGCCGTGAGTCACCAGAGGTAAGCGAGTACGTGCCGGAGGGTGATGAGGGCAGTAGTTGATACTTGGACAATAATCGCCATGCTCTCTCAGGAGAGCTGTTTGTTAATCTGTCACGCGTGGCGGATGACCTGTGATTGCTCAGCATTAAATTTTTAACTCATTCTGTTATTGTCGAGTCTGTAGATGAGAGAGATGCATGTAGATAGATGGTGAGTGAGTGAGGCACAGAGAGAGAGAGAGAGAGAGAGAGAGAGAGAGA